CCTGGTGTGTTCCCCACAGCCCCCCAGGGAGACACTCCTGGTGTGTTCCCCACAGCCCCCCAGAGAGAAACTCCTGGTGTGTTCCCCACAGCCCCCCAAGGAGCCCAGCCTGGACAGGAAGCAAGGACCCCCCAGTGTCCTTCCCAAACCCTGGCACTCAGCTGGGCCGGAGAACACTGAAAAGCCCAGAGTCAGGCCCACGTGCACGGGTAAGGCTCCCCAGCCTCCCCCAAGGGCAACGGTTAACCCAGTGGAAGGAAGTGTGGCTGGTGGCTGAGCTGCAACAACAGACCACCTCCCAGCTGGGCTTGGGCCCTGGTGACCCTCGAGGGCACCCCCACCCTCTGGCAGAACACTTCATCCTCCAACTGCCCCTTCAAATCCTTGTCTTCTGCAAACATGAACTCAAACATTCACTAAATCCACCTTCCTCACCATCCCCTCCAAAGCAGCCTCCAGTCGCAGTCCCCGAATCTGCCCCCCAAATCCCTAAGGCCTGTGCACAGAAGGAGACCACCGGTGAGGTATCTGGGCCTGCAGCCTCTGCCAAGCCACTCTCCCGGGGTCTCCATTTGGGGGTGCCCTGGTAGCACCTCCTTCCCGGGGGTACCTACAAGGAAGGAGGCTACAGGGAGCAGTGGCAGCACAGCCTTGCTGCCAAGCCCCACAGAACCCCCCAAGAGGAAGCCGGCACCCCACTTCTACCCATCCTCTCCACGCTCTGCAGGCCTGCCATGGGCCAGTGACCGGGCACCACCATAACCACTGCCACCCAGGAAGGATGAAACGGGGGTCAGAGTCACCCCCATGGAAGGACAGCCAGCCAGTCTGGGGCAGCCAGGGGCCCCGCTTCATCATCAGGCTGACAGCCTAGCTGGGGCAGCAAGGGAGGGGGACCCCACCTCGATCCTGGGGGAGGCAAAGTGTCCTGAGTCCCAACCCGGTCTCCTCCCAACCCATCTGTGGCCACCCGACAGTACACCCCAGAGAAGATCAGGTGGAAGGGGTCCTCACCCCAAGAGCAGGCCATTCCCCGGTCAGGCGTCACCCCTCTGCCGCTCCCTGTGGAGGCAGAGGCTCCTTCCAGAGGCACCCGGCCAGAGGCAAGCAGGAGAGGCCAAATGCCCGTGCCCGGCCATGCTCTGGCCTACAGGATGCTGCAGGGCTTGGACTCTAACACTAGTGTAAGAAAGAGGGGCCTCACGAGCAACCAGGCAGCTGGGACCCAGCCTGGTCCAGAGGAAGGGCCTCAGGCCCACAAAGGGACACGCACGGGGGTGGCACGCTGGCTCCCCCAGGCAGGCCTTCGTCGCACACAGGGCTTCAGGCCTAAGGGGAGAACTGAGGAGATGGGGTGGGGGAGAAGGGCAAAGGCTGAGCAGGGCAGCAGGGGCCAGAAGCCTATGATGTCTGCAGGCCCCTGCCCACCTACAACGGCACGTGATGGCTGGGCTACGCAGAGCACCCAGCCCAGGGGGCACAAGGCCTCCTCTCCCGAGCAGGGAAACCACATGGGGCACCAGTAATTTCTAGTGGTGGGTCCCTGTGAGAGTTGTGTGCCCAGACCCCCATGCTGGGGCACAGACAGGGGGACTCGGCACTCCCTGACTCCCCTTTCCTCACTGCAGCCACACCACACCGCCACGTCCTTGAACTTGCTCAGCCTCTGGGCTACCACACGGTGCTGCCTCTGGTTCCAAAAGGGTCCCCCAACTTTCTCCTTCAGATTTCCGTTCTTCCCTCTCCCTTCAAACCAGGCCGCCTCTGTACTTCCACAGGCCCTTGTGCTTCACCATCACATAACTTGCCACCCTGTTGTCTTTAATGGAATATTTCAGACATTCCAACAGTGTAAGAATAATGCAACCAAAAATAACCTCCAAGAGAAAATAACAACATCAATATAACAAACACTCTTGTAGGAAATAAAACACTACAAATGTGCTTGATAACCACTTCCCCCACGAGACTGGAAACTCAATGAGGGCAGGGGTCTTGGTGGTCTTGTTTACGGCTGTATTTACAGTGCTAGAACCAGTCTCAGGCACATGATGGGTAGTCAGAAATGGATGGATGGGTGCGTGGGTGGGTGGGTGGATGGACGGATGCATGGATGGATG